ACCTCCCACCTCCCACCAAGCCGACGTGAGGACACTTCTGAAAATTCAAGAACCTGTGAGAGGCTGACATTCTTGTGAGAGAGATTAGTGTGACCGTCATAACTATGTCTGGGAGAACACTGTTTTTGAGGGGAACCGTAAAAGACATTACTGGAAGATGACTGTTTTTTATGAAGACTCTAAAAGTTAGGAAGAAAGAGACTAAAAGCCGAGTCAAGAAGAATACTGTATTTATGGGAAATTCTAAAAGCTGGATCAGGGAGAATAATTTAAAGGGGACTCTAAAAACTAGGTCTAGGAGAATACTGAATTTTAAGGAAAACTGAAATATGCAAGTCAAATAATTATTTAGGAAATGTCAAATTATTTTGTACTAAAACAGTATTTTTTTATTTTAATTAGTGTTGATGTGGAAATGTGAAAGGTAAAAAAAAAATTCTGATATACAAACTTTGTAAACCATTTTATAAGCAATTGCATCTTTTATTTCTGAGCAATTCATATAAAAAAATTTGGCAGTTGTCATGAACGATCCTGGACACTATAAAAATTTCTGGACATTTTACATACACATTTTGAGACACTATATAAGCATTTCTGGACACTAAATGCTTATCACTTCACATATCTGGGTAAGTAAACAGTAGTTATTGCAGTAATAAGGTTTTCTCTCACACTCAGAGGCAGCCACACACTAACACCAGTACTTTTGCTGCAAACCTTCTCCCACTGACAGCAACGCTACACACTTGAGCCTAGTTGCCCTCTAGCCTCCATATGCCAGCGTATTTAAGAGGCACGTAAGTACCCAGGGGTACTTACGTGCCTCTTAAGACCTTATTGCTGCTGTCAATTTTACCCTTCGTCTTCCATCTCTCCTTATATTTCCTCTTTGTCTTCCACCTATTATTTCATTTCCTCCTTTGTCTAGCCCTTTAGAGGCTGGCTGGGTTCTCTTTCACAAACTAGCCTCTCCTTGCTATTCTGTAGTGACTCGTCGCTTCTATCCAGTACTGGATAATGCCATATCTAGATAGTTCTTTCCAGATACCCCTTTCTGGGCAATTATATCCAAATTATTCGGTTCTTTAAATTTCCTTTTGGACATATTCCGTAAAGTCTTTTCTCTAATGTTCCTCTCTCCTGTGTTTCTTTGCTCTTCCCCATTCTTTTATATATTTTTTCCGATTCGCCCACAAACATCCAGTGCCTATTCCCTATTCAACGAATTTAAAAACAAACGCACGCACACACACACACACACACACACACAACCACACACACACACACACACACACGGCTCAGGGAGAGTGACCTAGTAGCGATCAGTGAAGAGGCGGGGCCAGGAGCTCGGACTCGACCCCCGCAACCTCAACTAGGTGAGTACAACTAGGTGAGTACACACACACACGCACGCGCGCGCACACACATACACACATACACACACACACACACACACACACACCACACACACACACACACACACACACACACACACACACACACACACACACACACACGTCTAAAACGGTCGTATCTAACATTTTACTCTTATCCCCCCCACCTCTCTTCCCCTCGATTGTCGCCGCCTCCTCTTCCTCCACCACCACAATCTCCTCTTCCTCCTCCACCCCATATATCTCTCCCTTCTCCTCCCCCCCATCTATCTCTCCCTTCTCCTCCCCCCACTATTCCTCTTCCTCCACGACCATCTCTTCCTCCTCCACCACCATATCCTCTTTCATCCGGTCTCTTCCTCCTCCACCATCTTGCCCTCCTATAGCAGTGGATGGGTCGTGGGCGTCGTGGTCGTCATGGTCGACCTGTGGTCCTGACTGCCGCCACCACCGTCAGAGGTCGTGTTCAGCACCGTCACCCCAGCACGGAGGTCGTTATTGTTCCGGTGACGACTTCACTTCCTCCAACTGTACCGGAGGCATGTGCCGCAGTGAGTACCTCCCGTTGTTACCAGTTGTCACTGTTATCTGTTGTCTCCTATTACCCGTTGTCACTGTCTACTATGCCGGAGGGATGTGCCGCAGTATCTCTCGTTGTTAAATCTGAGCAGTGCTCCGTTGCGAGTGGCCTAAATTAAAAGTCCTGCATCTCTGTCCTCCCGTTTTCAGCCTAAATAATAGTTATTTCCTCTTTCGTTAAAGAAATGGTCTTTCAAGTGTGCAACTGGAATTCTTTCCCCTTTGCCTGCGCCTGTTATAGGCTAATTGATGCTAATTTTGATGAGTTTGGTCTAAGCAGTGTGTTACTAAGCCTTCCTGGATGTGAGTACTGTGTCCTGATCAGACTGGATCCTAGGAGGGGTGGGTTTAAATTGTCCATAGACAATATATGCACAGTGGGCGGCTCGCAGTTATTCTGCATTGTTACCTAGCAAACACTCTCGAAACTCATCAGACACATCAAAGGTATATCAGAGATGGTAGAAGTGGGGAAGAAAGATGTGCGAATGGATCAAAAGTGTTTAGGGATGAATTGAAAGGTGCGCTAGGATGGATGCAATGGTGTTGTGATGGAAGTGAAAATGTATTGAGATGGATGAAAAGGCGTATATGGCTGCATGGAAAAGTGTATATGTATGAATAAAAGGGGAAGGGGAAAAGGGGCAGGTCTGGTTTCTTATAGACTAGTAAGTATATGCTGTGAAGGAGTACATTGCAGTAGGTTTGGACAATACACAAATGGGATGCGACACGTGATGATACATAGGCTTGACACATTCCGTAAAGAGTCCTGATGGATTCATTAAGAGCTTAGTGAATGTTCAGAGATTGAGTTGTGCTTCTTCAGCGATATGCTCTGTGTGATGTTCATTGCCAGATGACCCGTTCAGTGGTAGGACTGACAATGTGCTGTGTGGGAGCTACTGATCCTCAAGCAGGCCACGACCGCTGAATTAACCATCACACTCAGTGGTCCTAGTACCCCAGATACTTTTCTTTCGTCGGTATTTGTAGTTTCTCTTTTGACAGTTTATGTATTTGTAGTTTGTGTTGACAATCCGTTTACTTGTAGTTTTTCTGTTCGCAGTATGTGTATTTGTTTCTTTGTTTCATCTGTGTATTTGTAGTTTCTCTGCTTAGTCTGTATGTTTGAATTCATGCATGTAAATTGCCTTTACTACCGTTTCCTACTGCCTTCCATTCACTCACTGCTTTCATGCTGAAGAAAAACCTCAATTTTTTTTGGCCGATTTAAATTTTTATTAGGTTTTTATATTCCTATTGAAATCTCGCTTTCAAAAAGTTAATTTTTATCCTCCTTGTCTTTACCTCTGACCATCTTATATGTAGTGACCAAGTCTTCGCTCAACCTGGTGGCAAATTTTCTTGGAGGGCTCCAAACAGCCAGGGGTCTGTTGGTAATCCTCCGTATGTAAGAAGGGAGACATTTCGAAATTCTGTTTGGATCAACGTGGGTATGATAGTCGACGTTCTTGACTGTGGGATTCAAAACAAAAAAAAATTTCTTATTGCTGACGTCAGTTTAGAGACGGAACTGAGATGTGCGTCCACTTTAGATAGTCAGCCAACATTTTTGCAACTTGTCAGACAAAAGAATTTTCAAAAAATTCAATAAATTTTCTCGTGCTTGCTTCTAAAGCAGTTGTAACTAGTCAAAATTTGCATATTCTGAATAAACTTGTTCAAACAGGTTATTATAATTATTTTTTAGTTTTCAGTTGAGCAACATAATTTCTCAATTTTTGCAAGGTGTGGTGAATTTCACTCTTTCTTTCGCCACATCTACGAGTGCATTTAAAATTAAATTGCCCACTTATGTCCTAGATTATCCATGTTGTATAGCCTTTTACAATATTCTCTCTTTATTCTCGTGTAGCAACACAGCCAGTGGTGGGAAATCACACAGGCAATCTCACTTAATCAACGGGGTCGTTCCTTTCTCACAAGTCTAATTTCACCACGTCTTTCACCCTCAGGTCACCAGGTCTTTTACCCTCAGGTCACCAGGTCTTTTTATGTCTCGGGAGTGAATGATCTGAGATCGTTATCTAGGTGGTCGGGAGAGGGAAGGAGAGAGTCGGCATCTTATCCCTGAGGTTCTTCCAAATATGTTGGTGCCTGTGAAGCGTGTGTATGGAAGACCCTGGCCTCCCTCCAGGAACCATAGGACAAATTCGGAGCCTTAGGACCGAAAATGGTACTGGCCTGGTGGTTGTGAAGGGCTCTGGAGGACGGGGGATTGGCTTCCAACGTTTAAAATATAGATGTCGGGCAACTCCGGTGGTTTACTGTTGATGGTCGAGGTGGGGTTAGGGGGGGGAGAGGTATTGAAGTGATTACCTGGCTTTTGGAGGCCTGTGGAGACAATGATCCTGGAACTATTAACAGGTTAGTATAGTCGCCATCGTGACTCATGAAATGAAAATTAGACACATGTGCAGCATCTGGATATCTTTATTGTAGACGTTTCGCCATCCAGTGGCTTTATCAATACTAATTTAACGACATAATCTGAAGACAGTAGAACTACATACAGAAGATGAGGTAATCAGTCCCTCAACCTTGGAGTTGGTGTGAAGAGCACCGTAGTAGTGAAGAATCTGGAGCACAGGCAAGAAAGCTGACGTTTATATACTGGCGTCAGGTGGTGAGGGACGAGTAGCAGACGAAGTCATTGTAGGCGGGATTCCCCATTGTAAGTGGGTCATACCCAAGGGACGGGTTTATAGTATTGAAGGTTGTGGAGATGTAGTCTGAACTAAGAGTCCATGATGCTGTAGTGTCCTTGAATTTGTATTGATAAAGCACTGGATGGCGAAAAATCTACAATAGATACCCAGATGTTGCACATGTCTAATTTTCATCTTGTCAGTATTGTAAGCCGTTCACGTGCACTCAAGAAATCGTAATAACACAATTGCAAACTGGCTCGTGAGTTTTAGGACTCGCCAACTATTGCTCCAAGCCCTAGTGATTTAGTAGCAACGTTAATATGACCTCGCTTACCTTTGGACAGCAGTCTCTTGCCTCTTGCTTATAGTACGTAAGTGTGTACTCGAGGATTTGTGCTTTCAGGTAAGAGGAGACGGGTGGCGTCGCTGACCATTAGTATGGGGTTATTGCTTAACGAGTACTATCATATCTGACGCAGCATAACATCTTCCTTCCTCGCCTTCATTCTATCTGGGATGTCTCCTGAGAGATTCTGACTTCTTTGCTTATGTTATTTTATTCGTCAGAGAAAAAACTCCAATGCGGATTTTTGTCTGTGGTTCCGGTCCTGTGTCCAAGGCACGGCAAGACGACACAAAGTTGGGCATTTGATGCTTATGGTGGACTTATCCCGACTTAATCGTGCTGAATACCACATGATTTATCTATGCTGAGTTTTTCCTAATGAACTTACTGTCTCCATACAGTTTCACACAAAAACTTCCAATTTGATTTAGTAAGACTGTTTACGCAGTATTATCTTTCACCCAGTAATCCCCTTCCTTCTTCCTAATGGTGCTTTTAATCACTCGTGACCTCCCTGTTACTCTAACAAGTTGACGTTTCGCTATTCAACATCCCATCTTAGAGAATTTCAAACCTACACCGTTTCCCATGCTTGTATGTCTACGCGTGTTGCAGCTGAAGGCTCCAGTTTCATTAACTTGAACACAAGCCTGAGGATTAAAATTGTATTTTTCTAGCCTTATTGCCTATCCTGGTTGCACCAAACTCCCTTATGCACGGAGCGAGGACGCTGAGAAGTCGGGCTCCCCTGCACTGTACACAGTCTGCCAAGTCTCTTGAAATATCATTTATATCACGAACAGTAGTTGCACTAGAAATGATTCATGGAGAATTCCAACCTGGTTTTTCTTGACTTTATTGTTACTCTATCTTCTCTTCACGCACTCCTTGCTATTCCTTTCACCCCTGCTTGTTCTTCTAGTTTCTGGACGAGTCACTTGTGTACCACATTGTCAAATTATTTTTCCAGTCAAAGATGCAATGCGCTCATCTGTGTGTCCCTTGTTGCAGAATTCGAGTTGGTTCGTGAGACAAGATCTCCCATACCCAAATTTGTGTTGGTTTTCTTCGACGAAGTTCCACTTCTCCACAGTGCTCCAGTATCTTCAGAGTTTGTCATTGATTTTGTCACTATGTATGTCAGTGGTAGCGGCCTCTAATTTGGTGCCTCATGCAGCGCGCGTGTGTGTGGGGAGGGGGAGGGGATTAGGTTAGGGGATAATGGAAACCTGGCCTCAGGCCTTACTGCGAGAGTAGAACAACCCTCGAAATCGCTCACAGGTTTTACAGAATTTAGCTTAATTTGCAGACGACGGTAGATGTCGCCATCTGGTGAATGCTAAACTCTTTGTCTCTCCTGCAGGTGGGCGAGGTTCCTCCGTCAAGATGTATGGAGACAAGAGCACAACAGAGGAAGGTAAGGAATAGTTGAACCGTTTGGAGTTCCTCTCATGGCATTACAATGTTTCATGGATGATAATTCCCATTTGAGTGATGTGTCTCTGACGGGTTTCTAGGGTTCTACCCCCTCAGCCCTACCTGAGGGTCAGGCTTCCCTATTGACTGCCTGGTCAACCAAGCAGTTGCTACTAGCCATCACAACCTGGCTGTTCAAGCCTTTAAAGTAGGTGGTGGTGAAGGTTACTCGTGATGTTTCGGTAATTCTTGTATCTGCTGGTCGTGGAACACAGATGTTGACGTGTCAACATTGTGCATATAACACTGGGTGTATATACTATGTATAGCACTGGTGTATGTAGCACTGGTTTTGTTTTATACTGTTTCCCGTATCTCTCACTTCAGTAAGTTACAGTAGTATGAAGTTTGAGGACCTGGCCTGTATGGGTCCCATTTTTATTTTAGTGCCCCTTTAGGTGGGGACAGAGTATTTAATGTTTTATTGTGGTGCTCCTTTACGTGGGGGCGGTATATTGAAAGCTTTATTGTAGTTCCCCTTTAGGTGGGGGCGGGGTAGTGAAAGCTTCAGATAGTGGGGTATCTCAGCAGTCCTCGTGGAGAGAAATATATGGTGACTTCCCTGCTGGATACGGTGACTGATTCTCCTGTAATAAGCGTTAGAAAAAACATTGGGTTATCCTGTGCCTTTAAAAATCTTCCCCCCCCCTCACAAGAATTATCTTTACTCTTCTACCTATTCCACTCTCTCCTTCCTTGTCTCCCGCATTCTATCTCCTCACCTGTCTGTCGTATCCCTCCTTTTCTCTACCTATTTACATACCTCTCCACCCATACCATCCTCCCCATTACCAACTTCCATCTGGCTCTACTTTTTTTTTTCCCTCCGGCGCCTCTTCCCTATTTCCTCCACTTGTTTCAGCCACTTAGTCTTATCCTTCCCTCCTTTCCTTATGTCCACCTCCGAGACTGGATTTCCTAAGTGACAGTAACTCCAGCGTTGGTGGAACGATATCTTTAAAGTTGCCGTAACTAGTGAAACCATAGTGAAATACATGACGATATTCTCATAGCCTGTCTGGTTATGTGTGGTGGAATATGGCAGGGAAGATGCTAGCTTTTGTTCCCTTTGTGTAACTGTCATTGAGAGTTGGAAAGCTGTGTACCACTAAAGAACCTAATTTTTTTTAAAATTAAAAAAAGAAAACATCTTTCCATGCACCCCTCTTTCATTTTATCAAATCCGTTTCTTCCCTTCAAACACTGCCTCTTCTCTCCTCTCCAAGCACCTCTCTCGTTTCTGCCTATCTTTCCTCTGTAACTCTTTCATCTCTCTTCCTCGTTCTCCCCCCCTCTCTCTGTCTGTCTCTTTCTCTCTCTTTCTCCACTACTTCTTCCCTCTCCTCTCTACCTCTTTCATATCCTCTGTCTCCTCCTTCTCTGTCTTTAATCTCCTGTGCCCATTTCTCTCTCCTCTGTTCCTCTTTCATCTCTTCTCTGCCTCTTCCCTCTCCTCTCTGCCAATTCCCTCTCGTTTCTGCGTTTTTCCTCTCTGGCCCTTTCATCTCTTCTCCCCCTCTTTCTCCCCCCTCTCAGCCTTTTCTCTCTCCTCTTTCTCTCTCCTCTGTCTCTTCCCTGCCTCTTTCATCTCCTATCTGCCTGTTCCTTATCCTGCTTCCACCTACGTGTATTCCACCCACCTTCATGTGATACAGATTTTAGCAGTATTATTAGTAGACTTCAGGACTTGAGATTACAACATGGATTATGTAATCTGTATTAGTATCGCTGTGTTTATCACTCGTAAAGACCTGTCTGATATTATAGTAGAATGAATAACGCACCTGCGCAGCACTTCAAGTATCGTTATTGCCCAAACGCATCGCCTAAACAGCGGCTTTAGTCGAATGCAGAGACGATTTTTATGCTGGAGACAATGGAAGTAGGAGAGGCAGTGTGACAGTGTTAAATATCTTAACATTGATAGCAGAGGTTCAGACCCTTTCTTATTTGAGAATTTTGTATCTGATCTGGTGGTGACTGTGGTGGGTAGTGTTGACACTTGGTGGTGACTGGTGGGTAGTGTTGACACTTGGTGGTGACTGGTGGGTAGTGTTGACACTTGGTGGTGACTATGGTGGGTAGTGTTGACACTTTGTGGCGACTGTGGTGGGTAATGTTGACACTTGGTGGTGGCTGTGATGGGTAGTGTTGACAGTTGGTGGTGACTGTGGTGGGTAGTGTTGACACTTGGTGGTGACTGTGGTGGGTAGTGTTGACACTTGGTGGTGACTGTGGTGGGTAGTGTTGACACTTGGTGGTGACTGTGGTGGGTAGTGTTGACACTTGGTGGTGACTGTGGTGGGTAGTGTTGACACTTGGTGGTGACTGTGGTGGGTAGTGTTGACACTTGGTGGTGACTGTGGTGGGTAGTGTTGACACTTGGTGGTGACTGTGGTGGTATGTTGACACTTGGTGGTGACTGGGTGGTAGGTAGTGTTGGCACTTGGTGGTGACTGTGGTGGGTAGTGTTGACAGTGGTGTCGGGTGAGTAGTGTTGACAGTGGTGTCTGGTGGGTAGTGTTGACACTTGGTGGTGACTGTGGTGGGTAATGTTGACACTTGGTGGTGACTGTGATGGGTAGTATTGACAGTTGGTGGTGACTGTGGTGGGTAGTGTTGACAGTGGTGTCGGGTGAGTAGTGTTGACACTTGGTGGTGACTGTGGTGGGTATTGTTGACACTTGGTGTCTGGTGGGTAGTGTTAACACTTGGTGGTGACTGTGGTGGGTAATGTTGACACTTGGTGGTGACTGTGATGGGTAGTATTGACACTTGGTGGTGACTGTGGTGGATAGTGTTGACACTTGGTGGTGACTGTGGTGGGTAGTGTTGACACTTTGTGGTGACTATGGTGGGTCTTGTTGACACTTGGTGGTGACTGGTGGGTAGTGTTGACACTTGGTGGTGTCTGGTGGGTAGTGGTGACTGTGGTAGGTAATGTTGACACTTGGTGGTGACTGTGATGGGTAGTATTGACAGTTGGTGGTGACTGTGGTGGGTAGTGTTGACTGTGGTGGGTAGTGTTGACACTTGGTGGCGACTGTGGTGGGTAGTGTTGACACTTTGTGGTGACTGTGGTGGGTAGTGTTGACACTTTGTGTGTAATTTTAACTGTTTTGTTTTTGGTAGTTTGTGTTTTGCTGTATGGTATGACTGGGTGTATAAAACGTGTGTGTGGTTTGTGCTCGCCTGTTTGTGGTTGCAGAGGTCGATTCATAGCTCCATGCCCCACCTCTTCATTGATCGCTGCTAGGTCTCTCCCTGTCCATGAGCTTTATCAAACCTCGTCTTAAAACTATGTATAGTTCCTGCCTCCACTACGTCACTTGCCAGACTGTTCCGCTTCCTGACAACTCTATGACTAAAGAAATATTTCCTAACATCCCTCTGATTCATCTGAGTCTTCAACTTCCAATTATGACCCCTTGTTTCTGTGTCCCATCTCTGGAACATCCTGTCTCTGTCCACCTTGTCAATTCCTCGGAGTATTTTATATGTCGTTATCATGTCTCTCCTAACCCTCCTGTCCTCAAGTGTCGTCAGGCCGATTTCCCTTAACCTTTCTTCGTAGGACATTCCCCTTAGCTCTGGAACTAGTCTTGTTGCAAACCTTTGCCTTTTCTCCAATTTCTTCACGTGCTTGAAACTAGTGCTGCATACTCCAGTATGGGCCTGACGTACACGGTGTAGTGTCTTGAACGATTTCTAACTGAGATACCAGAACGCTATTCTCAGGTTTGCCAAGCGCACATATGCTACAGAAGTTATCTGGTTGATGTGCGCCTCAGGAGATGTTCTTGGTATTATAATCACCACAAGATTCTTTTCTTCAGTAAAGTTTGCAGTCTTTGGCCACCTAGCCTATACTCTGTCTGCGGTCTTCTTTGCCCTTCCCCTATCTTCATGCATTTCATTTGGCGGGGTTAAATTCAAGGAGCCAGTTGCTGGACCAAGTTTGCAGCCTGTCCAGGTCTCTCTGTAGTCCTGAGTGGTGTGTGTGTGTATGTACTCGCCTAATTGTGGTTGCAGGGGTCGACACTCAGCTCCTGGCCCCGCCTCATCAATGGTCGCTAATAGGTCCTCTCACCCTGCTCCATGAACTTTATCATACTTTGTCTTAGAACTATGTATGTTTCCTGCCTCCACTACATCACTTACTAGATTATTCCATTTCCTAACAACTCTACATATTCATTCATATTCATATATATTCATATAGTTTATTTGGACATGATACATAGTTGTACAAGGAATTATAGTAGTTGGGTGAACATGCCAAAAGCCCCTTGTATGCAGAGCATTATGGGCAGGCTTAAAATTAACAAGCAATGATAGGTTCACTGGTAAAAATTACCGTAAACAATTTACATTATGAAGTAAAATTGAGTATTTGAAACAATGAAATTTGAACATTTCGATATTGAAGCATTATAGTTGTACAAATTTGTCGCATTACAATGTATAACAAACAAGATGATCAGTTTACTGTATGTTGTCCTGAAGTTTTAAGATTTAAGTAATTGGGAGATTTATTGGTAATGTTAAATATTGAGTGTTGATTTAGTCCTGGGCGAGTAAGTGGTTTTTTAGAAGTCTTGAATTGATTTTCAGGCCTAGTTACTTTAGTATGTTCTGGTAATGAATTCCAGATTTTGGGGCCCTTTATGCGCATAGTTTTTACAGTGTGATATGGACACGGGGAACATCAAAAAGAGATCTGTGTCTTGTGTTATGGTCGTGTGTCCTGTTAAGGTTGGTGAGGAGAAGTTTGAGTGGAGGGTTTATGTTTGCGTGTATTGTTCTATGTATGTAGTAGACACATGAATAAGTATGGATGTTCTATATGGTGAGCAAATTTAAACTTTTGAATAGAGGTGGGATATGCTGTTGTGAGTGGGAATTTATCATTCTGATTGCAGCCTTTTGCTGGGTTATTAG